TTTTTCAGATTTGCGGTGACCACCAGAAAAATGTGGAAAGTGCAGCGGTGTGGATTAAGAGCCTGATTTTAGAGTCCCAGAATGAATATATTATCTCGGATGAATCAATCTCAAACTTTGGAGAAAGCGAATATAAAAACCTGGAGAAACTCCAGAAAAAGTTGCACATTGCCATTAAACTAGATAATGAAGCTTCTCTTCCCTCGCTTTGCATTTGTGGGATAACTAAAGATGTCTTGCAAGCCAGTACAGAAATACAGATGATGATGAGAAGGATCCGAGAGGACAGAGAAGAAAAATCCAAGGCAGAGCTTCTGACAAACCTTGTTTTGTGGCGGTATGAAGACAATGGGGAATATAAACCTTTTGACAGTCTGACCAATATGCAAATAGAAGCTGCAGCACAACATCAGAGGCTGCATGAGCTGACCATAAACAACAGGAGTTACAAAGTGGATCCTAGTAAAATGCAGGCTGTCGATGACCAGGGAATGTGCATTGCCCTTCGGCGTATTGAAAAAGTAGAAGGTGTGTTCTATACCTTGGTCAACATTTATGACTTCATTCTGTATCCTCCCTCCCTCCCTCCTTCATTGAAGATCCTCAATCATCTAGGTCAGGGGTCCCCAACCACTGGGCCGCGGACCGGTACCGGTCCGTGGAACATTTCCTACCGGGCCGCCGGTTTGCTGGGCGCCGCCATCTTGTTTGATGAGAAAGTGCTTCCGGGTGAGCTTTTCCAGTTGGAAAGTGGCATTTGGGTCCTGAAGGAATCCTCGAGCCTTAGTTTCATCGAAGGGGGGGGGCTTCGAACGAAACTAAGGCGCGAGGATTCTTTCAGCACCCAAGGCAAGGTGAGCCGAGCGACCGTCCCGAAGCTGTCCCGAAGTGAAGCCCATCGACAAAGGTACAAAGGAGGAGTTGAAGGTGGTGGAGAGAAGCGGGGGACGACTGGCTGGCCGGTCGCTCGGCTTGCCTTGCCTTGTCATGCGTGCTGATGCCGGTACCGGGCCGCGGATCATTTTGTGATTCTGGTACCGGGCCGTGGCACAAAAAAGGTTGGGGACCACTGATCTAGGTCATGGTTGTCCTGAAAGTGCTTTTCCAAAAAGCAACTAGACTTTCTTGGTTTCTTCCTTGAAAATGCTTCACTTCTCATCCAAGAAGCTCTTTCTTTTTCTCTCTTTCTCTTTTTTCTTTCTATCTCTTTTTCACTCTTTCTCTTTTTCTTTCTTTCTTTTCTTTCCTCCTCCTCTCTTTCACCCTCCAATTACATGTCTCCTTATTTATATAGCCCTTGAATTTAGTTCCTCTCCACTACATCAAATTGGCTGCCTGCTGGTATCCAAATTCTGTCACTGTATGGCAGAGGTAGTCAAAGGCTCCAGGTAAATATCTTGTAGTGACCTGGAGCCCCCTGAACACCCCTGCTAAAGGTCAACACTTTCTCCCTTTTGGAGATGGAGACATCATCAAAGGTTGCCATCATGGTTGTGTTTGGAATTCTTCCTCCCTGCTGCATGTTGATAGATGTTGAAGACCGACATGTTAGGGAAGGCTGATAGATAGTTTCAAGACAAAATAAAGGGACAAAAAGTATATATTTTAATAATTACCTACATAAAAGCAGCCAAAAGTCCTGCATTTTTTAAATAAAATTGCTCATTCTCATAGCTTATTTTGGTATAATCCATGCTGGTGTTTGAGACATGCCTACGTTTGATATAACTGCCTGTATTTGAGTTTCAAAGGCAGGAAACTGATGGTGCTTCCTCCTTAAATGAGATCTTTCCCTGCTGGGATGAGGTGGCTTTCAGTAGACACCCTTTAAAGATCATTGCCCAATTTGTTTGTTTGTTTGTTTTGCTTCAGCTTGAAATAGCTACCCTTTGCTGTATTTTAATGCCAGATATAATGCAGGTAATACACCATTTTTACTTGATCCATTGTCCCGCCCATCTGTGAACAGGCAAATGACGAACAGGTCATAATACAGTACTGTACCGTCTTGTCAGAGGGCATTGATGCATGGAACCAGACATAGTTCTTGAGATCCATTTAGACATGGCTTGTAGAATCATGATTAGGTGCCTTGAGCTTCTCTATGCTGCGTTTGAGAGTAAGGTCAGCACTATTAGGCAGAGGGGAGTCAAGTCAGCAGCGTCACTATTGAATTAGGCCAGAGGTCTCCAAACTTGGCAACTTTAAGACTTGTGGACTTCAACTCCCAGAATTCTGGGAGTTGAAGTCTACAAGTCTTAAAGTTGCCAAGTTTGGGGACCCCTGAATTAGGCCAATTCCTTTTTGCCTAGACTCAATAGATAATTTGCTCCTGTTTTCGACCGCCCACCTCCTCAAACTGGATGTCATGTTGTAATCCAAGTTGTAAGAGATGTTAACGCCGTTTTTATATTTGGCCTAATTCGTGTACTTAAAAATCAGAATTGGGAAGCTGCAATTTGTAAACGCTTACGGAATTGTCTCCTATTCATTTGCAAAGATAATCTGACCACCACAATTCCTGAGGAGTGGGATGCCATGGAGGAAACGATGCGCCTTAAAGTGGTAGAGCTGAAACCAGAAATGATGGAATATAAAAAAGTCCGGGATATGTTTAACCTAACATGCAAGGAATATACCATTCAAAAGGTAAAGCAACAACAAATACCTCAAATCTTTTGTTTTGCTGCTTTGGGTGGCAAGTAAAGCCTTATCTCCTCCCCCCTCCCCAAAAGAAGTTGATGCCATCTATTCATTAAACACTAACATTAAATGTCCCAAAGGTGCTTTTTCAAGAGGCAACTGGACTTTCCGGTTTTTCTTTGAAGACGTTTCGCTTCTCATCCAAGAAGCTTCCTCAGATCTTCTCTTCAGCTGAAGAAGTTTCTTGGATGAGAAGTGAAACGTCTTCAAAGAAAAACCGGAAAATCCAGTTGCCTCTTGAAAAAGCACCTTTGGGACATTTAAAGTTAGGGTTTAAATGGAGAAGGAGTTCTGGGAGTTGAACTCCACAAGTCTTAAAGCTGCCAAGTTTGAAGACCCCTTAGAAAAACTTCGTTTTCTACTGTCCCTTTTACTGTAGTGTAAATTGTCATATTGCACTCAGGGGGAAATGTCTTATTAAATTGGCCAAGTAAGAGAAGTCAATTCTTTTTATTACGCTGTGATCTTAGAGTAGGGCAGTCCAGGATAATTTCAGGTAGTCCTCGACTTAACAATAATTTGTTTCGTGACTACTCAAAGTTACAATAGTCCTGGGAAAAGTGATTTAGGGTCATTTTTCTCATGATCATTGCAGCATCGCCATGAATTCAGACACTTGGCAACTGACTCATAATTATGATGGTTGCAGGGTCTCCGTTTGTGATCCCCTTTTGCGATCTGCTGACAAGCAAAGCCTATGGGGAAGCCAGGTTCACTTAACCACCGTGTTACTAACTGAACAACGGTGGTGATTCGCTTAACAATGAAGGCAAGAAAGCTTGTAAAATGGGGCAAAACGCACTTAACAAATGTCTCACCTAGGAACAGAAATTTGGGGCTCGGTTGTCATAAGTCAAGGACTACCTGTACTAGAAGAGAGAAGGGCTGTGTGGAGAATTGGATTCGATGGGCAAAACGCATGCATGGCATATTCACGTACATTCCAGATGTCTTATGCTCCTCAAATCCAGGTTGCTGCACAGATCTAGAAAAGATCTCAGAAAAGATATTTCCATACTGTCCTTGGCTGAAGGAATTGCTAAATGTGGTGACCATTCTTGTTAGGTAGACTTCCACCCTTGGCTTATACAGGATAATAAAAACAAGGACAAATAGGCTGAAAAACAGTTTCTATTCTATGGTATAGTGCAACATTAATGCAATATTAGCGGTTTTCAGTTCAGTGCATAGAATGTGAAGGATGTGTGTTTGTATTTATTTCCATGGCCACAATGTACACTGAAGACGGTATTTAATTTCGTGGTAAGAGGTGCAATGACAATAAAGTAAACTAAACTAAACTTCTGCAAAAGCAGCTCCATCATTGAAGTACACAGCCTTTCCCTGGCAAACAGATTGATGTTAGGAAGTAATTTGAATGCTTCATTGAAATCAGCTTTCTTTCGCAATCTGAGAAAATCAGTCTGTCTCCTCTGTGAGAATCCTTCTGATATTTAGTAGTACCGTACTTCTGAATGATCTAGAAGGGGCTGCTTAAAGAATTAGTGTTAGTCAAGCTCACTGAATTGGGACATTTCTGACACCACAATTTATGCACGAACCACAGTGATCAAGATAGGACTAGAAGAATGGGTGAGGCTACAGCTGTTGCCCTTTAATAGCAATTATGATGAAAAAAAACAACAACCTGTATTGGTTGGTTTCAACTTATTTATTTTAGTAAAGAAAAGTTCCTCTGCTTGAACTCTTATTCTCCAAAGATCTAAATTGATTCTTTTTTGTTTTAATTTAAGGACGTGGCTTCTTACTAATTTTTGCTCTCTTTTCATTTGCAGATTGAGAGGATACAAAATCCCTACCAAATGAAGGCATACCAAATTAAAAAGCAGGAGATGGATGCTAAAAACGGCAGCATCAATAATGAGAGGCTCCTTTTCCATGGAACAGACAGTACCTCAGTAACCCACATAAACAGCACTGGCTTTAACAGGAGTTACGCTGGATTGCATGGTAAATTGTGCTTTAAGGCTGGTTCTTGGGAGCAGCTGCTTCACAATTTGTCCTAAGCCCCGTTTGGTTTAAAGGGTTTCCTCAGGTTCAGTCATCTGGGGTTGTATGCTAAGCTGTAACCATGGTTTATAGAGCATTGCAGCAAGGTGCTAAGCCAAATCTAATCAAGCCACATTACATCACAGCATAATTTGTATACCTCCGGGGATAGTGTGGGGAGAACAAAAAAATTTCCCTAGTGAAGCCTTTCCTATCCTTGGAGAAATCTGGAAGAAAAATGTGCTTGCTTTACATTCTGGCAGGAGTCCAGTACATCACCTCATGACTTGGTCAGTAGTGAGTCAAATGTCTAGACACTAAAGATAGAAGAAAGAAATTCCCATGGAAAAGGAACTATCATATGGCTCTTGAGGAGTTGATGATCTCT